GCCTGTAATCCTAGCACTTCGGGAGACTGAGGTGGGTGGATCACCTGAGGTCAGGAGTTCAGAACCAGCCTGGTTATCATGGTGAAAGCCCATCTTTATTTTAAAAAATAAAATAAAATAAAAAAATAAAAATAAAAAAAATTTTTCATTAATTTTGTGAACTGGTTGTTAAGGGATTAAAAATTAAATTAACTAAACTTAGAATTGAAAAAGTTATATTAAAAATAAAGGTAGTACACCAGACATGGTGTCTAGTACCTGTAATCCCAGCACTTTGGGAGGCCAAGACAGATGGATCTCTTGAGCTTACAAGTTTGAAATCAGCCTGGACAACATGGTAAAACCCTGTTTCTACCAAAAAAAAAAAAAAAAAAGCCAACAGAAATTAGTTGGGTGTGGTGGTATGTGCCTGTAGTCCCAGCTACTTAGGAGGCTGAGGTGACAGGATGGCTGGAGCCTGGGTGGTGGTGGTTGTTGTGAGCTGAGGTTGTGCCACTCCACTCCAGACTGGCAACTGAGGTTGTGCCACTGCACTCCAGACCTTGTCTTAAAATAAAACAAAGGTAGTAAATACTAACAACTCATCTCTTCCTGATTATTTTACTCTTATCTATGCTCATGAGTTTATTTCCTCCTGTGTCCGGATATTCCACTCTTTTATCATTTGTTTTTCTCTTTGTTTTTCAGTTTGGGAAGTTTCCTATTGACATGTTTTCAAGCTTACTGATTTTTCCTTTGTCATGTCCAGTATTCTGATGAGCCCACCAAAGGCATTCTTCATTTCTGTTACAGTGTTTTTGATCTCTAGCATTTCCTTTTGATTCTTTAGAGTTTTTATCTCTGTTTACTTTATCCTTTGTTCCTGAATGTTGTCTTCTTTTTCCATTAGTACCCTTAACATATTAATAGTTCAATTATCTGTCTGGTAATTCCAAAATTTCTGCCATATGTGAGTCTGGTTCTGACACTTGCTTTGTCTTTTTTTGAGATGGAGTATCAATTCTGTTGCCTAGGCTGGAGTGCAATGGCACGATCTCAGCTCACTGCAACCTTTACCTCCCAGGTTCAAGCAATTCTCCTGCCTCAGCCCTTTGAGTAGCTGGGACTACAGGCGCCTGCCACCTTGCCCAGCTAATTTTTGCCCATTCATTTTTAGTAGAGACAGGGTTTTGCCATGTTGGCCAGGCTGGTCTCGAACTCCTGACCTCAGGTGATCTGCCCCCTCAGCCTCCCAAAATACTGGGATTCCAGGCATGAGCCATTGCTGTTGGCCTTGCTTTGTCTTTCTAGATTGTATATATATTTACATTTTAGCATGCCATATAATTGATTTAAGTTAGACATGATGTATTGGGTAAGGGTCAGGTTTTGTTTATAAGGCTAGGAATTAGGTTGTGTTTACTGTCTGCTATAGCTGCAGGTGTTAGATGCTAAAATTTCCTATGGTGTCCTTGTTTTTTGACTCCCCTGCTCTTTGAATTTCCTTAGAGACTCTTCCTGAAATAGGGTCAGAGCCTTGCAGTTTTTTCAGTTATAATCCCATTATTATACAGGAGCCCTATTGAGGTGGGTAAGGGAAAGCATTCTGTAATTCTATTATTAGGTCTGTCTTTTATTGCATATGTGTCCTTGGGCTATGACCCTCACAACTGTCTCATTTTTTTCCCTCCCTCACATGAAACAGGAAGACTAGAGGAGGCTTCTGTTGGATATATCCCTTCTCCCACATTGGTTAGGCTCTGTTCCACAGTTTCCCTTGAAGACAGGCCTTTGTTAAGGAAAATAGAATGCTCGGCATGTATTTCAAAATGGCTAACTTCTCTCTCTTCCTGTTGGAAGCAAACACGCAAAAATGTGGTGGACGCCTTAACACTGGGTGCCTAAGAATTTAAAAAAATATCTCAAGCTAGTCTAGGTTCAGTCTCCAGCAATTTGTCAATTGTCCTATAAGTATCTCTACCAGTAGCTGGTTCCAGTAGTGGTTTTTCCTCCAAGTACGTCATGATTCTCTGTTCCACCTATTTTGAGTCGCAATGTCTCTTCAGATTTTGGGGTGAAGGACCTCAGTTCTCAAAAGGGTATAAGAAGGGCTGTTAAGTTTTAGTTTGTTTGGCTTTTTCCTTCTTGTGAGAATGGGAGTGATCACCTACAAGCTCTTTACCTGTCAGACTGGAAACTGGAACTCCCTATCTATTGTATCTGTCTGGAGAAAATACTATGTGATGGTGTGCCTCTTTTCCCAATGTTGTGATCAGTGGTGTCATATGGTCATATTGAAATAGGGCATGGTAGGAGGATTTATATCACAGAAATTGGCAAATGTTACAAACAAAGCTGGATTTATTCATTTTGTTGATTGTCTCAATTTAAGAAAGGGATAGATTAATATTAAAATTAGATTAATATTAAAAGGGATATATTAATATTAAAATGTTAATAATTCAGATTAAGTTTTAAAGTATATCAGATTAAAGGATTTCAAGTCTGGCTGGCCATGGTGGCTCATACCTGTAATCTCTGCACTTTGGGAGGCCGAGGTGGGCTGGATCACTTGAGGCAATGAGTTCTATACTAGCCTGGGCAACATAGTGAAACCCTATCTCTATTAAAAATACAAAAGTTGGCTGGGTGCGTTGGTGCAGGCCTGTAACCCCAGCTACTCAGGAGGCTGAGGCAGGAGAATCATTTGAGTCTGGGAGGTGAGGTTGCAGTGAGCTGAGATCATGCCACTGTACTGCAGTCTGGGTGACAGAGTGAGAGTCTGTCTCAGGAAAAAAAAAAGTGTATCATGTCTAAAGTCATTACATTGTTGATAACACAAAAAAGTGACATATTCTAGTATTTAAAAGCTATGATCTAGTCGGGTGTGGTGGCATGTGCCTGTTATCCTAGCTATTTGAAAAGCTGAGCCTAGGAGTTTGAATCCAGCCTAGGCAACATAGCAAGATCCCATTTGTACAAACAAAAAGAGGGGCACACGTTCTTAGAACCGTCTGAAGCAGTTTCACAGAAAAAATAAAAATTTAAAAATAATAAAAACAAAAACCCCAAAATGTCATGAAACACGGTAGAATCCTACACCCAGAACAAGATTAGTCTCTAGTAAATAGGAGGAGTAGACCTATAGGTATGACTTACAAGAAATGAAGTAGTATTTATATTTTTTTAAAAAGGAAATTCCTCTGGTTTAAAATTTTGTCAATTGTTCTTTAAGGGCAGTGTGTATTATAGGGTATTTAAAGGCTAACATATGCCCTGAAGAGTGGCATACTTATCCAAGGTGGCAAACTCAATGTGGAGTCATTAATCCAAGAGAAAAAGTGGAGAACCAAGCACAAGTCAGAAAATTAGACAAAAGGAATCTGGAAGAAATGATCTTGTCTGTTCATATGGTTTGGCTCTGTGTGCCCACCCAAATCTCATCTTGAATTGTAACTCCCACAATTCCCATGTGTCCTGGGAGGAACCTGGCGGGCAAGTCTTCCCTGCATTGTTCTCATGATAGTCAATGAGTCTCACAAGATCTGATGGTTTTTAAAAAAATGGGAGTTTGCCTGCTGCCATCCACTTAAGATGTGACTTGTTCCTCCTTGTCTTCTGACATGGTTGTGAGGCATCCCCAGCTTTGTAGAATTGTGAGTTCTCCGTTTTCCATTAAACATCTTTCCTTTGTAAATTGCCCAGTCTCAGGTGTCTTTTTATCAGCAGTGTGGAAAATGGACTAACACAACTGTTTAAAAGACAACATACATGACTAAATAATTGAAAAAGTGCTTATTATACTAAAAAACCTATTTTATAGGTGCTTATTCTATTAAAACTAAAGAGTCTGAATGGGATGAAGTTTGAAATCATAAGTTCTTTTACCTTATTACCAGAAGTAAGTCATTTAATTCCTGAATCTCAATTTCTCTAGGGCAAAATGGAGCTAATACTTACTACAGGCAGAATATGGCAGAGGTGACCTAAAATGGAAAGAAACACTTCTGAGAATGAATTAGAATCATTCTAATTCATTTCTAGGCATGGGTGATCAAACATAGTAAGATCACCCATGCCTAGAAATGACAAAACCCAAAATATTATCAAAGCAAGACAAAGGATTCTAATATTATCCAAATCCATCTAAAATTACTCAAATTTAATCAAGGTAAACTAATGAGGTTCCAGAAAAGCCAGAATACAGCTTGCATGAATGGAAAGATCAAAATGGAATTAGATTTAGGATCTATACTTATTAGTGATGTAGTGAGGGCAAACTCCCAGAGTTTCTGTATTGTGAGGTGTTCTGCACATTCATCTGACAAAGATTTAAGAACTATTTTCTAGGGCCAGGGCCATACTAGGTAGGTACCATACAAAAATGAAGGCATTGCTCTTGCCTTCAATTTCAATACAATGTAACAAATATTGTAACAATAAGAGATACTGAGTAATTATAAGTACTAGGTACTATTATACTTTTTATTTATTAAATCTTTACTCCCTTTCATAATCTAAAACATAGGTATTATCACACAAAAGAGGCACAGAGAGGTCAACTATCTTGCCCAGGACCAAACAGTTATCAGACGCTGGAGCTGGGATATATCTTCGGAGGGGGCAGGAACTTGTAAATCGTGTAAGTGAGGGGTACTGGCAGAGGCCTTCTACACTCAAGGGGCAGATGTAGTTCACCCATTCACAAACAGAGATTTAAAAATTACCTCTTAGAGTTGTGCTGAATAAATGAAACAGTTTATTTAAAGTCAGTATTGTGCCTGGGACATGTAAGCTCTTAAGGTTACTAATTTCATTTTATCCCTTTTTAAGTTGGATCACTGTGGCGAAACGTGAAAATGTTTTCATGGCTTCGTCTACACATTAAAGCGATCTGTCCAAATGGGTTGTCGTATTTCACATTGCTACCAACAATATAACAGTTTTCTAGTTGCTTTATGTTCCGATATACGAGAGAGCCCCGCCATTGGATTCTGTTTTTTAGTTTCTGACAGCCTCACCTATTTTCTCTTTCAAGTTCTCCAACTGCCGCCCCATTTTATATCACCACTGCCATCACAAACGAAGTTCTCCCAAGAACCGCCAAGCGGCGCGTGAGCGGGCGCCTCATCCCACTACAATTGCGCCCTCACAGCATAAGCCCAGGCGCCAACGCTCAGTCCGGTTCTCGCGAGAAGATACACGGTGTTTAAAACGAGAACTTCGAACCCCACCCCGCGTGACGTGCCTGCGTCTTCGCCTCAAGGTTTTTTTTCTGGTCGTAGACCGACTGTTAATTCGGCTTCGGGGGTATAGCGAGGTGCATTCCGGAAGTAGGTCCTTTGACTTTTGCTTCCTCTACGGAAGCGAGTCACAGCCTGGCGGTCGACGCTTAGCGGAAGTTCGTCAAGTCGCAGTTGCCCCCGCACAGCGGATGTGGGTCGCCTCGTAGGTGACGCTGGGAAGTGCTTGCAGCCTCCGCCGCTGCCTTCTGGTTGAAGCACTATGGAGGGAGACAGGAAGAACAACAACAAACGGTGGTATTTTACTCGAGAACAGCTGGAAAATAGCCCGTCCCGTCGTTTTGGCCTGGACCCAGATAAAGAACTTTCTAATCGACAGCAGGCGGCCAATCTGCTCCAGGAAATGGGGCAGCGTCTTAACGTGTATCCTTGCGGCCTAGGCCTTCGGCCTTGGAGTTGGTCCCGCCATGCTCTGGCGTCCAGGTCTCAGGCTCTGGTGGGGGACGAAAGTGGGGAAGAAGGTGGGCAGGAGCTGGATGTCTAGTTGGGAGAACCCACAGTGGGCGGGCTGAAACTCAGTTCGCGCTAGGGAAGCGAGGCGGAATTGATTTCCCGCTCGCTCTTCCGTGCCACCAACCTTGCTGGGAATTCGTATCCTTCCCGGCTTTGTGTTTTAACCAGCTCTTCCAGCTCTCTCTTTGTATTCTGATCTGCTCTGGTGACGTTAAGATACTTATTTTCCTCTGTGCCCTAGGGGTCTGTGTCTGGCAGAAGTTTCTCTGTCGACGGCTGCCTCCCAAACCTAGTGTGTAAATTTCGAGAAATTCAGTACCTGAAAGTGTTATAAAGAGTGGTCTAGAATTAATGCCTCAGCCTTGGTCCAAAATCCATTCTTCCCATCTACTAGCTGTTTAAGTGACCTGTCAAATTCTTGGTCTTGTCTGTAAAATGGGATGATACGTCTTGTGTTTGATTCTGTGTCCATCACAATGCTTTGCATTCAGATGCTCAGTTAGTAGCTGCTGTTTTATAGAATTTCAGAGGAAAGATGTTTAGGTTTGTAGGGGTGTATACCCACGAATATAATGTTTTAAGTCATTTACAAAATATTAAGTTATTAAGTCCTTAAGTTATTTAGAGTGCTGTTGTGTATTTCATTTTCTGTTTCAAAAGTGAGGTAACGGCCGGGTGCGGTGGCTCATGCCTGTAATCCCAGTTCTTTGGGAGGCTGAGGCGGGTGGGTCAACTGAGGTCAGGAGCTCGAGACCATCCTGGACAATATGATGAAACCCCTGTCTCTATTAAAAATACAAAAAAATTACCCCGGCGTGGTGGCGGGTTTCTGTAATCCCAGCTAGTCAGGAGGCTGAGGCAGGAGAATCGCTTGAACCCGGGAGGCTGCGTGGTTTCAGTGAGCCGAGATTGCCCCATTGCAGTCTGGGCAATGAGAGCGAAACTCCGTCTAAAAAACAAAAATCAATGAGGTAACTTCTCCCACATATTTTTGTTTGTCAGGAAATACACTTATTTTGTGGTGGACAAAACCAGTATAGTTTTAAAGTTCTTTCCACTCTGTGTGTGAAAATTTTCTTGGGTGTAGCTTCTATTTAAATGTGTGGCTGACAATAATGTTTATCTTAAGGATGTGTTCATTTCAAAATGGGTGTCCTTTTTTTTTTTTTTGAGACGGAGTTTTACTCTTGTTACCCAGGCTGTAGTGCAATGGTGCGATCTCGGCTCACCGCAACCTCCGCCTCCTGGGTTCAGGCAATTCTTCTGCCTCAGCCTCCTGAGTAGCTGGGATTACAGGCACGCGCCACCATGCCCAGCTAATTTTTTGTATTTTGAGTAGAGACGGGGTTTCGACATGTTGACCAGAATGGTCTCGATCTCTTGACCTTGTGATCCACCCGCCTCGGCCTCCCAAAGTGCTGGGATTACAGGCTTGAGCCACTGCGCCCGGCCGGGTGTCTTTTTTATTGCCAGTTTGTTTCCTGCTGATGTTCATGTTTGTTTCCTAAGCATCCTGACAGTACGGAGTTAAACCTTTTTGTTTGAAATTCTATTTCAAGGGTAGGCGCGGTGGCTCACGCTTGCAGTCCCAACAGTTGGGAGACTGTTGGGAGGCCGAGGCGGGCGGATGGCTTGAGCTCAGGAGTTCAGGACTAGCCTGGGCAGCATGGCGAAACCCCAGTTCTACAAAAATTAGCTGGGTGCGGTGGTGTTTGCCTGTAGTCCCAGCTACTCGGAAGGCTGACGTCAGAAAATCAATTGAGTTTGGGAGGCGGAGGTTGCAGTCAGTTGAGATCGCGCCATTGCACTCCAGCCTGCCTGGCTGTGGGAGTGAAACCCTGTCTGAAAAAAAAAATAAAGAAATTCTATTTCAGTGTATCCTTAAAACGCTTTCCTTTTTCTATGTGTGTTGTCATTAAGGTCAGCCGGACGTGGTGGCTCACGCCTGTAATACCAGCCATTTTTGGGAGGCCGAGTCCGGCGGATCACTTGAGGCCGGGATTTCCAAGACCGGCCTGGCCTACATGGTGAAACCCCTTCCCTACTAAAATACAAAAATTAGCCAGGTGTGGTGGCGGGTGCCTGTAATCCCAGCTACTCGGGAGGCTGAGGCAGAGAATCGCTTGTACTTTGGAGGCAGTGGTCGCAGTGCCATTGCACTCCAGCCTGGGCAGCAGAGTGAGACTATGTCTCAAAAAAAAAAAAAAAAAAGAAGGCTGTTATCATATGCGACTGCATCATCTCTCTACCTCTTGTTTGCTGAAGTCTAGAAGTAACGCATTTACAAGTTTTTTTTTCTTCTTCAGTGAATGAATTATGAAATAATTTTAAAAGTTTCTGGTCCCAGGGATCACCACATGAGAAGGCTTCGTTGCCAGAGAGAAGTGTAACTGAAAATAATTTAGGCCGGGTGTAGTGACTCACTCCTGTAATCCAAGCACTTTGGGATGTTGAGGTGGGCAGATCAGTTGAGGTCAGGAGTTCGAGACCAGCTTGGTCAACGTGGTGTAACCCTGTCTCTACTGAAAATACAAAAGTAGCCAGATGTGGTGCATCCTGTAGTCTTAGCTACTTGGGAGGCTGAGGCAGGAGAATTCCTTGAACCTGGGAGGCAAAGGTCTGAGATTGTGCAATAGACTCCAGATCCAAAAAAAAAGTAGTTGATGGAGTTAAGGTGAGAGAGGTAGTGGAGACATACCTATGGGCCAGATCAGGGCAGGTGCTGTAAATCATGTTAGATTGTAGAAATCTGCCACCACGCCCTGCTAATTTTTTATTTTTAGTAGAGAAGGGGTTTTGCCATGTTGCCCAAGCTGGTTTCAAACTCCTGACCTCAGGTGATCCACCTGCCTCAGCCTCCTCCCAAAGTGCTGCGATTATAGGCATGAACCACTGCACCCAGCCAGGCCTTATATAGTTTTTTAAAAAAAATCTGTCTACATCCATACATTCTGAGAAGTTTATTTATTCAGTACATTTATATTAAATATGTTATATGTAAGGTATTGTGCTAAGCTCAGTTGGCAGTTAATAATTTGGTGAACGAAAACAGAACTACTTTTTGATTTGGAGAGATTTAGTATGATTTTCATGTAGTAGCATCTGCTTTGCTTGGCCATTTCATCCTTTTGGGAGGAAATAGAGATTATCTTTTCCAGAATTATACCTGTCTGTTTTTGGATCTTAACTTGAACACTTCAGCTCACAATTGACTATCAACACTGCTATAGTATACATGCATCGATTCTATATGATTCAGTCCTTCACACAATTCCATCGAAATGTAAGTATAATTTTTTTATATGGTATAATCCTTTTGTGATTGATTCCAACGACCTATTCCATTTGTGGTTGGTCTTTGCTACTGAACTGATTTGAACTTTAGAATTTAGGGTTAATCACTTTCATTATGTGCCGTGTTGCTGTCCTGAATCCAAAATTTCAGTTTTGCTGTGAAGTGTCTAGTTGTCTAGTGGATTTAGTACATCCACGTAGATTCTCCAAAGAAGTAGATTAGGTCGGGTGTAGTGGCTCACAGCTATAATCCCAGCACTTTGAGACTGATCACGTGAGCCCAGGAGTTCAAAACCAGCCTGGGCAACATAGTGAGGCCTCATTTCTATAAAACATCGAAAACAAAAAACAACTAGCTGGATATAGTGGTATGCATTTGTAGTCTAACTACTCCAGAGGCTGGCAAGAGGATTGCTTCAACTCAAGGGGCTGAGAATGCAGTGAGCCAAGATTGAGTCATTGCACTCCAGCCTGGGCATCAGAGTGAGACCCTGTCAAAAAAAAAAAAAAAAAAAAAAAGATTATCAAACATCAAAGTCAACATTTTGGGGTTGGAGGAGTAACATTAAAGGGGAAATCATGTGTAATTTAGGAGTAGCTTTTTTTCGTTGGGGCAGGGAGACAGGGTCTTGCCCTGTTGTCCCTGGTGGAGTGCAGTGGCTTGATGACAGCTCATTGCAGCCTCAACCTTCTGGGCTCAAGTAGTCCTCCTGCCTTAGCCTCCCAAGTAACTGGGACCACAGGCCTGCCACCATGCTTGGCAGTTTTAAAATGTTTTTTGTGGAGATGGGGTCTCCCTATGTTGCCCATCCTGGTCTCAAACTCCAGGGCTCAAGGGATCCTTTCACCTCTTGTCTTCTAAAATGTTGGGATTACAGGCATGAGCCACCATTTCTGGCATTAATTTTTAAGTAGTTTATAATAATATGGTTACAGCAAAAGAAGTAAATGTAAGTATCTTAGATTTTCCTAAAAGCCTTTGATAAAATTTCAGTCAGTGGTTGGAGGGGAAGATACATTGTATAATAATAACTGGGAAAATGACTTTCAAGAACATGAAAAATAGGCCAAGCATGGTGGCTCATTCTTACCTATAATCACAGCACTTTGG